ACGTAATTATCTTCTTTTTAAGCAATGTCTGTATTTTATAAGATTAGATAAGTAGATACAAAGCAGCTGTTGTATCTCCTTAACTGTGTGATACTGAGACGTGTGTACCGAATGCACGCATCCCTAGACTTTGTAAAGTATTATTTTTTATAGCTCGTCAATTAGCTTGCTTTCAGTTGGGAACTTATAAAAAGTATTTACAGTGACTATATTGATGAAGAAATTGGCAGTCAACGTTTGCTTAAAATAACTCCTGATGTAGGTTTTATTAGCGCCTCAAAAGGGGGAAAGACTATTAGTTTTGTGTAAAATGTCTGTCCGTCTGTCCCGTTTGGATCTCGTAAACTAGAAAAGATATTGAAAATCCGACATCATAATATTTTAGTCCATTCAAAGTTCTGATGCAACGGCTACTTTTTCTTTTCTTAAAGTGAAAAATCCAATTTTTTAAATCACTAATGCAAGCAGTTTTTTTTCATAAAAATACACCACTTTTACAACTATTCACTATTTATTTAGTAACAAACACTGGAGGCTTTTAATAGGGGATAAAATATAAATCCATATTTTAAAGTCATTTATGCAAACGGTTTTTTATTTTTTGTCAAATATTTTTTTTTACATTTGTATTGCTAAGTGAAGTAAGTTCTGTCATACTATTTACTACATTTACACGAAAAAAAAAAGTTTACTTTTTTTTTCAAAGAAAAAGGATATATTTAATATGCATATAAGTTGGACATAATTTAAAACAACAATGAATAAGTAATTTTTCATATTATCGCGGGAACTACCTTGTCGTAATTTGGATATAAATAACTTTACTAAAGGAATTTTTTTTTTTACGAAATGATTTTTTTTTTTTGAGGAATTAGAGATTGACCATTTACAAAGCAATTAGATAATTGGATATTCATTATAAGACATCAGTATGGCCAGTTTCACAATTAACATCACATTCACTTTCCCCTATCCTTTAGTTTGTTTGACCGCTGGGGCACCACACAAGATCTGTCAACCTTCTTTCTCTATTCTTCTCTGTCCTTTGTCTTTTTTTATATATTATCACAAAGCATCCACCTGGTAGATAGGTACATCAACTGCTTTGTGTTAAATATGTAATAGCTAGATTTAATGTCAGAAAGGCTACACAATGCGTTGTTCGCAGACATTCAATCTACTTACACACACGCACTACCTAATAGATACTTTGCTTTTTTTTTAAGGATACCTCAGCTTTTTAGCCTTTGACTTCAGTTGTCGAGCTGTTTACATCCTAGGAATTCTCTTTTCTTTGCCTCTTTTTTGGGCATTGCCTCTTTTCTGGGCTATTGGCCTCTTTTTTTTAACAAAAAGATGCATATTTTATTAGTAAGCGTACAAATGAAGTAGTTACATTTTAAAGTACAACGATTGCAAAACATAGCAATGCATATAGTTACATTTAGGTTGTCATAATATTTTAACGTTTTAAATTGCTTTGTATATGGCGTTATTTTTTTCCAATAGCATATAATGAATATTTTTTTTAATTTTAAGGTTCTTACTTTGCTTTATGAGTATTTTAAGTCTCGTTAATAATATGTGTAAATTATTTGGCGAGTAATAAGAATAACCTCATCTCTACTTTAACCTAAAATTAATGAAATTGTTTTGGTGGCTTAGATTCTAATTAATTTTTGCTGATCGGTAAAATGAACATATTTCTTAGTTCAAACTCCAGTGTATTGAGTGAGCGACAAATTAGTCTATATTCTAATGCTAAACAACGATTGCAATATTGGATCGGCTTTGCCTACTCACGCACATACAAATCATTTAAAAATGGTAAAGTTATAAAGTAAATCGTTGAAAAAGTATACAACTGAATAGCCTTACCTCTTACTCCATGATCTCCAGCTAAAACATAGCCGTTGTCATCCCAGTCTTAAAAACAAAAGTTACAGGATCAATACACAACACGCAGTCTTTGGTTTGGTCTGCTATTCTTAAACAAATTGTTTAAGCGTACTTAAGATAATTTTATTGGTCCAAACAAATAGCAATTCTGTTTGACTATAAATGTCCACCTCAGTCTAATTACGATAACATTAACAATATAGGTGCAAACAAAAGAACATTAAAGTTCACTCTTTGCTAGTATTGATATTTGAAAGTTTCTGGTCCTAAAAATATCTTCTCCATGACCTACCTCCTTCTATGTAAGCTGGACCGCCATACCTGCCTGCGTAAACTCCTCTGGCTCGTAGAGGGAGGGGTCTGATCACTGTGACGTCACAAAGAACCGAACTAACCATAAGCCCAAAAGCTACTAGCAAAATTAAAGAATTGATCATGTTGGAATTCAACCTGAAACACAAATAAATTGTGATACTTTAAGCAATTAGAATAAAATAGTCTTCGAGCTCTTCTCTTTTTCTATTTATTTTAACTGTCGTGAATTGTCTTTTTTCTTAAACTCTAGGGAATAGTTAGAACTAGACAAACGCACTTTCCAATCTGTGCAAGTCTCTCCTACCTAATCTAAGAGTTCAACACAAACTCTATATCAGTTACTTGTGTTGCTTGTCCCAAATCTCTACAACTCAATTTATACTCCGCTGATTGACACTCTATGTGACCTATGTCAGACCATCACAACTTCCTGTAGTCAACGTGAGACATGTTGGTCAGGTCGTCAGATTGATGAACTGTCTTGGTCCAGCACGAAATCGTTGAAACCACAACTCCCGAGTCAACGTCCAGTCCTTTGTCTTGTCACACAGATCTGGTAGTTGGTAACTATTCAGGTTAAGCATTGCCCTCAATAACACAGATTTGGTAGTTGGTAACTGTTCAGGCTAAGCATTGCCCTCAATAAAAAGACGAGGACATTTTTTTAAAAAAGTTATACTTTAAAATTAGCAGACGTCAGTTTTCCCCCCAACTTTTCAATGCATAGTAAGTAGTTTATGACGTCAACTTCAGCTTAGTAAAAGATCTATTGACACAGGTCTTCACATAAGTACTATATCCCCGTTGTCTTGCCGCATTAAACAAAAATGTGACTAAATTCTAAATATACAATACATTAGGGGGGGGGGGGGGGGGCAACATATTAAGCGATACCTCTGCGGTACAGCCCAGGACTTAGCGCAGGCTCTGTGACAGCGGGAGATTTATGACGCTAGAAAGCCCAGTGCGGGGTTATGGGAGTCATAAGTTGTTAGAGAAATAGGATACCATTGCTCATAATACAAGATAGGCCTAAATACTTACAACCATCATCTTGTTGCAAAGTAACTGATACGTATCTCAGTACATCGCATTCCTCATAGCATATGCGTATAATTATGCGATTAAATTTAGATCTGAAATTCTATATTTTGTTGAAAAGAAAATAAAGGCCAACAATCCTGATATTTCTTTAAAAAAAAAAATCAAACTATTCCATTGCAACATTAAGAATCTAGATCTACATAAAGCCTTCTTCTAAGAAACGACATAAAGCCTTCTTCTAAGAAACGACATAAAGCCTTCTTCTATCTAAGAATCGACTTAAGGCCTTCTTCTATCTAAGAATCGACATAAAGCCTTCTTCTATCTAAGAATCGACATAAAGCATTTTTTCTATCTAAGAATCGACATAAAGCCTTTTTTCTATCTAAGAATCGACATAAAGCCTTTTCTATTTAAGAATCGACATAAAGCCTTCTTCTAAGAATCTACATAAAGCCTTCTTTTATCTAAGAATAGTCATAAAGCCTTCTTCTATCTAAGAATCTACATAAAGCCTTCTTCTAAGAATCGACAAAAAGCCTTCTTCTATATAAGAATCTACATAAAGCCTTCTTCTATATAAGAATCTACATAAAACCTTCTATCTAAGAATTTACATAAAGCCTTCTTCTAAGAATCTACATAAAGCCTTCTCAACACAGTTACAAAGCATTAGCCTCCAATGTGGGCCTACACTATAGGCCTACTGGTGAAATTGAATCACATACTTGTATCTACATCTATCGCTATTCAGAATGGTCAGACGTTGTGCACCGAGATCCATCCTTGTTATTGTGTAGTTTCTTATACAATCATAGAACTGTTTGTAATGTAACGTGTGGCCAATCTTTGTTATTTCATTGGCCAATCATCTGTACTCGAGGGTCTCTAACGTCCACAGGAAGTTCACTCCTGTTAACTTAGAACAGAGAACACGGTCAAAATATGGAGACTTTTTTAACCACACATTCTACCTAGAGATCAGATTTTCCATTGTACTTTCTTCTGATGGTAAAACATTATCCAAATACTTTTGTTTTTGTTCAGTTTTCATTTGTTCCACAGACTTGATTGTACGTTACACTACTTTAATAAATTCACACAAGGAGAAGGGACTCGTTGACCCGGGAAAGAAAAACAGAAACCAAACCTTCATCGTCTTGTGGCTAAACGCAAACATGGGCGAAAAGTTCAACTCTGAGGAAAAATTGGAAGCATGTGATCCTTGGACAGATCCTTACTATTGACAATTAATTGAAATTGTATTTGACTGGTGTAGTGGTATAAGTTGAATTAGTCCCCTTTATATTCTGTAGATAGAAAATTTTGAAACGTTCTGTTTCATATGCACTTCCCTGGCACAATTGTTAGTGTATTGGCTTGAGGAGGCTTTAGCCCTAGAGTTCGAATTCAGGTCGGTCAATTTTTTTTTTTTTTAACCAATGCATTTAAATAGCGACCAATGAAATATTTACCCAGATACTCTATTGTTTCTCTCCCCTTTCCTATTTATTCCAGCCAAGTGCTAGGATAATGTTGTAGGGTGTTGAGAAAGGTAAAAGCAATTGTTTAAAATATTTGTAATGACACAGATTTATTATGGTTAGTCTAGAATAGATTTAGTACAAATTTAATGACATGACTGATCCAAACTAATTGATGCATATATGCTTTTATTTAAAAGTATTTGTTAATATTTGTATTGTTTCTTTAAGTTTGCAATGTAACAAAGATTTGAACAAGTCAATGTGTATAAAGAAAGTTTATTTGTTCAACAACATTATATCATTGGAGAGCACTAGTAGAGTAGATTATATACAATAAAGAGTTGTAGAGTACTTAGTTACAATGGATAAAATGTGTATACCATCTATATATATATCTCAATAAATATGTATACATAATGCAGTCCATAATGCAATGTTTTAGCACCATATGAAATCAGAGAGCAATATTGGATGATGTCACTAGGACAAGTGAGCAATTAGTAGCTGGAGACAACTTTAAGTGGCCAAGTCAAGATCAGACAGAGAAAGTGTCTCCCAGCCGTTAACTATGGCACACAGTCTTTGACTCTTTAAAGCTAACAGTAATACAAATAGTAATTCCCCCCCCCCCCCCCATAGGTCATTACACATTTTCCTTCATTAAGACCTATTTGTCCCCCCTCCCCATATAATATTTTCAGATTAACTCATAGCTAGTAGAGCAGCGGTTCTAACCCTTTTATCCTCGGCGGCCCCTTTTTACAATCCCCCACTCTGCCGCAATCTGAAACAACTCCCAGCCAGATGGACCATTTACTCAGAACTAGAAACAGATATTTTGCTTTTAATAAGAGTCTACATAGTTTGAAGAGCCAAAGACAACCATAGCTGTAGTTGAAAAAAAAATACAACAAATCAACAGTTGAATATTGACAAGAGCACAATATTGCCAATCAGTCAACGCACTAGCTGCATGTACTGAGCAGTCTCTGAGTTGAGCAGGAAGATATTTACAAAGTGTTTATAACAACTAATGAAAGTCCAAACTCAAATGTGGGATTCATGTTACCTCAGAAAAACTAAATCTCCTTTCTTAAATAAAACATAATGGTTGCTGTACACACTTTAAGTGCTCTGAATAATTTACAGATATAAGACAGTAATTAATTTCAGTGGAAACAAATGTTTTAACAACAATATGAACCAATCAGTGTCATAAGAGAATTTCAGTGACAGTCTTGTGGCGAGTTTTATTTAAGAACCATGCTCTATAATGTTAACACATGAAACAACAATCTTATGTTCAAAATGAACTTTGATAGTTTGAAGTAAGTTCTTCAGGCAACAAGTATATGCACAGTTGAGAATTTTAGCTTTATGAATCACAGTCAACTCAATGTAATCATTCACAACTTTAGTGTAATAGTCAAAAGTCTTCACACTTTTCCTAACATCCAAAATGAAGATGGCCTAAAAGACTAGCAGCAAGTTTCCAAGCCTATTTAACAATGACTCTATCCAATGTTTTTACAATGACAGTGTAATAATGAGATCCAAACATTGAAAGTGTGGAACTTAACAAAGAAATCAATAAATATGAGCTAATTGGATGAGCTTACCCGGTATCCAAAAATTCATGTTGATTGATTAAGTATTGCAAACAACATCAGAAAGTCAATACAATTTATTAGTATAAACCAAACCATGTACATAGTTTTTTGTTTTCTTGTTTTAAAAAAGATGTAAACATTCAAAAACTTATAAAACAAAACCAAAGGTAAAATCTCTAAACACAGTTTAAAATGAGTTCAGGACTTTTTCAATGTAATGGATATGTAGTACTGTAGTGGATACTCCAGAGACTCAAGTGACTAATGAGGACGGAGATGTAAGTACAAGAATGTCATTGAGTGTAGAAAGACTTCAATGTTATAGAGTCATCAGCTCCATCTAGTGGACACTTTGTTGCATACAATCAAATAACATTCACTGGGAGCCAAAGGTGGTATTAACTAACCAAAACAAATGTTTTTGAAACCTTAAATCTCTATGACAATTACACATGAAACAAAAAATATTTCTACACACCCCCACCCTTATCCATGTAATGTCTGAATGGACACAAAGTTCAGCAAATTGTTTCAGATATCAATTTCTTATTTAACTAGATAAAAGAGAAGTACCTTTTCTCCAGAAAAATAATAATAAAGAGTTTTAAGAAAGATGTTTCCATCTCAATATCATATTGAGAGAACTGAAAAATTTACAAATAAAATATCAATATAAAAGATAATATAAAAGAATAAATAAAATGTAAATATTCAAACATGAATTTAATGTAACATAAAATCATTTTAAAAATATAATGCATTATTATTACCTAATGATAATTCTTCACTTGTCTAGTGAGTGTGTAAGGAACTCAGGTAGCCTGTGACTATCAAATATCTAAACAGACAAAATAAGACAGGTACATTTAACATTAAATTACAGATAAGAAAGTTGACAAATGATTCTGCATTATAAACAGATCCCATATTTCATGCCAACATTTGTCTTGTTGGATTAGTTGACAGCAGTTCATAGGATACCTTGTCTATTGAAGTTAAATGTTGGTTTGGTTTCTGATCATTTCTGGAGTGAATGTGACTACAGATGTTCCTCTGGCATTGTATGATCATCAGGGTTGATACCCAAGGGAACAGGATGAATAATTATGTCAAAATTAGTGGCACTAGTTTCCCCAGCTGAAACAAAATCTGCCTCTAAAGATAAAGGAGCACTGATTACTCCTCCAAAGTCTGCCTCTAAGACCAAAGGGGCACTGATTCCTCCTTCATTCCCCTTACCCTTGCCCCTGGACTTAGTTTTCCTGAGGTTTCTCCTTCCTTGAAGAGTTCTTTTACTAGACATGGTAGCTTCTTGTTCAGAGCCAGAGCTTGACTCAGCAAACATAAGATCTGAGCTGAAAGAATATTGCTTAGTTTTAGGACTGCGCCCTGATTTCATGGAATCTGTTGTTCGCAGTGCAAAGGTGGGTTTCGGTGGAAGTTCTGGTTTTTTGCTCACAAGTTTTGATGCATCGTTTCGTTCATGACCAGACTGACCAGAGGAAGAGTCAGTTCGTTTATGACCTCTTTCACTTTCTGAACTCTGTGGGCTAACATTTCCTGAAGATGGATTCTGAGCATTGCTCAGAAGTTGCAAATTTTGATGTGTTTCTTGTTTTCTGACAAGGTCCTCATCTTTATTCATTTTGATCAATACAGGAATATCTTTGTGAACTTTTGATTTTTTATCTAAACTGTTGTTGTGGGACTGTGTCTCTCTCTTGTCAGCTACTTTAACGTGAGGGTATTTCTGAATCAATGAGCTAGATGCCACTCTTTGTAGCTTGACCCTGAGGTGGCCATCACTAGACAAATCATTCTCAAGCCATTGTTTCTGTGTTTTATCATTGGGGCTAGCTTGTTTGCCTGGAACCTTTAGGCTCTGGCTCCTCTTGGGAGGCAAGAACAGAACTGGCTTTTGATGCTGGAGGCAGAGCTCTTTCACAAGCCTCAACTCTTCTGCTGGAGAATCCTGCCCTGAAGACTGGGACTCTGGGCTAGTTTTTGTTGAAGTGTGTTGTGGATCTTTCAGCCTGTTTGTGCCTACCAGTGTGCTAGTATCTGCACTCAAGTCTGGAGGAAGTGAACAAGCCCCAAGGTTAAAGAGTCCACTGTATCTAGTGGCAGGGGTCTCAACTAAAGCGCATGCCACCTGATTAGAGGCTGGAAAATTAAACATAGTTAACTCTTGTCTTTGTAATTGTAGTTGACGGAATATTTCAAATTCCAAGTGAGACCTAAATGGAAAATAAACAATAGATTAGTTCAAAAGAAAATCCAATACATAACACAGAACATAACAAAGAAATCCTATATAGTAAAGTGCAAAGCTCGATCAGTCCCGATTTGTATGGGGGTTCAATCAATTCACTTTTTATTGCTCAAACTTTTTTATTTGAATGTTTACCAAATTACTACTATATTGCTACTGCGCATGCACCTTTTTTCTTCACTTCTGACACATACTATTTCTTTTCCTTGTAAAGGCTAAGTTCATGATGAGGTCAAACTCAAGAGGTGTGGAATTATTATTTTTTACTACCCGGTAGTGAAGGAAATGGGTCATGGGCTTATGGCTATTTTTAAGTCTGATGGCTCATTAGCTCAAAGAGACTATTTGAAGTTGTGGAGCATGGGAAAGGTGGCAGTAGATGGTGTTCTTGCCCTGGAATAAAAAGAAAATGACTTTATAGTGAAAATTAAAGATTAAAACATGTTTTAGATATATTTTCTTTGATCTGATTGAGCCTTCCATCAGCCCGATCAAGCTTACTAACTAGGGGAGAAATCCGATCAAGGGAAAATACGCTTGGCGATACCCACCCTACACCTCTTTGACCTCATATTTAATTTTAACTAAGCCTAGTGTTACATTAATTTTATAGACAAAGGAGGAGGAATTCAGAGATACCATCAGTTTTTTCATAGGTCAGACCATTACAGTGCTATAAAAATCCAACTGTGAAAATTGCTGCAAGCGGGCTTAATGCAATGTTACTCTACATAACACAGAACATAACAAAGGATTTATCTTAAAGAATGTTTACCTTAACTCTTTTTCTTTTTCCTCAGATAGTATATCAGTCCCAATGCTGTCCAACTTTAATAACTGAGCCAAAAAAGGCTCATTGGAACAGAGCTTATCTTCTATCTTTTGCACTCTGTGTTCCAGTCTGTTCTCTTCTTGTAAGATATTGGGTGTAACTGGAACGTTCTGGTCCTGAGGCACAGGTCAAATAATTTATTAACTGGGCTGAGATATACTTATATTTATTTATATTACACAGTTAAGTTAAATTAAAAAAAATAGTTTAAAGATTGGCTCAATAAAATTTAAAAAAAAAACACTAAAAGCTACATTTTATTTGTTGACATCAATTTTAAAGCAGCATCGTAACTTACATCAGATGCTCCTGTTGAAATACCATCATCACCAGCATTATGATCTGAATCTGAGTCTGTGAAGCTGCTTCTTTTATCAGGTAATCCAGATGTTCCAAGCAAAGCATTCATTCGGAATAGTAATTCTTCCACAAGGTACAATATTTCAGCCATTGTGAACTCCTAAAATGTTCAAATATTCATTCATTCATGAATGTCTTTAGTTACAAGTTAATTTCATTAAATGAACACTCCCCCAACCCCAGACAAAAAGCTTGTAACAAACATTTCTATATATAGTAGAGTCACTATTGCGGAGCAGGCATGTTTGCGGAACAGCTAGTCGAAATTAGTTAAAATCTACTTTATTTTGAAATTTTCTGCTAAACTAATGTAACGGTACTGCGCATGGTCCATTTCTCTACATTTCCAATATAAGGGTTTTCCTTTCACAGCAGAAAATTAATTTTGACTCCAGGTTAAAGTTGATAGGTGTGGAATCGTCCATTATTTTTCACGTACCAGGAGAACCGCATAGGTCAGGGCTCAAGGCTTTTTAAAAATGATAATGACACATCACCTGCATGATACACCTATTTTTAGGTTTATAAATGGATGTGGAAAAACTTCATGTTGTAGCCAT